TATATATATATATATATATATATATATATATATATATATACACTTTTACTAATCCAGACTCGGACATTTTTATCCTCAGATCCATTGGCAAAATGAAAATCATTCGGGACCTATCAACGTACTACACATTGTTACATAGAGTCACAAACGGTTCCACTGTCTGCATAATCTTCCATATTTGATTCATTGAAGTACATCTTTAGGTGCCACCGAATATATTCGTCAGGTCAAACTTAAAAAAAAAATTGGGGGTAAATTTCAAGCAATTCAACTTACATATAGGTATATATATATATATATATTATATATATATATATATTACATTTTAATTTTTTTTTCTGTGGTTAGAAAAGAAAAGAATTGCAAACATTGTCGAGAAATTTGATTTTATTTTTTATAAAGTTGAGGTCGGGTGTCAAACTAGGTCAAAATTGTCTCTCCTGAAATGTAACGTCCATGTTTGGGTGGAGCTACCAGGCTTGGTATTATGCCAGTCCGGTTAGTAATTAATAGAAATAGTTATTAATGTTGAATTTTTCTTTTTTTTTAAAAACAATTTCTTGTTAAAACAATGTTTTGTTTAATGAAATAAGTTACCTCCTAACATGATTGTATTTTTGTGAAGAAAGGCAATATCCAAATATCCATTACATCGTACCAAGGTGCAATAATAAAGAATTAAAAGGAGAATTTAATTTGATTTAAACATTTAAAAAAAAATATTTTTCCTAATACCTTAAAACTGACGTCACAAATAATTATGACACTTTGGCAACCTTAATTATTATTGACACATTGACGTCATCAATCATGGTGACACACTGACGTCCCTAATCATTATGACACACTAACATTCTAAATCAGTATGACATATTAACGTTGTAAATGAAAATGACACATCAGGGTTCCAAATCATTATGAGACGTTAACGTTCTAAATTATTATGACGCATTGACGTCCTTAATCATTGTGACACATTAACGTCCTAAATCATTGCGACACATTGACGTCCTAATCATTGTGACACATTAACGTCCTGAATCATTGCGACACATTGACGTCCTTAATCATTGTGACGCATTGACGTCCTGAATCATTGTGACACAATAATATCCTGAATCATTGTGACACATTGACGTCATGAATCATCGTGACACATTGACGTCCTTAATCATTGTGACACATTGACGTCCTGAATCATTGTGACTCATTGATGTTCTAAACAACGTGTTCACAAATAAAGGGACGATAATAATCGCAAGGAGTATCGTTGAGACCACTAGCTGATTTTGATTTACGCCTAAACTCGACACAGTCCTCAATGCCTAAGTCATTGTTTGGTTCTCCTTGAATGAAAAGAGTTAAAATTTCGGACATGTTGGCTTGTGTTTGGTCAGACCACATGTAGACGCTCTCAGTTGCCATGTCGTCTAATCCTATCCAAATGCGATAAATGTTATGTGTTGATGTGTAGTTGTCTAAAAATTGTAGCTTTTCTATATTGTCTACCATCATGAGTCGGCCACTAATATTTTTACAAACATTTCCAGCTGTGACGAAATTGGTCTTTTTGAATGATATATAAACACAGTATCCAAGAAGGGTTAGGATGGAGTAAGAATATCCCAGGGATAAATCACAGTTTGAGTAGATCAACTGGCCGGTTTGAGGTTTAACCTCAGATAGACCGAGCTGACCTCCAGGTAAGCACTGTTTGGTCACTAGGTCGTAAATGAATGATTGGCAGGTAGAATTATACTTTGATTGGCACTTCGACGCACAAATGGCCTTGGAATCGGATGTGAAGCTGCTGCCAAGTAATTTAATCCCAAGATTTCCGTTTTCAACACTGTAGAACGTTTTCATTCTCTTTGCACCAGGACAGGAGCTGTCCATTATGGCAATGTTGAAACAAATTCCTAGAACACAGAACAATGACAGCCGAATGTTTATTTTCATCATTAGAGTTATGTCACTCTCAGAAATAAGATCAAGTTATGCTCTTAATTCTTGAAGAATTCGGTGGTATTTTTTTTTGTTTTTTTTTAGATTGCAGTCAAAAAATATATATTTTTTTTTTAAAACTTTGAACATTTAAAGTCTTTTTTTTCTTACAACCTGTTTCTAAGCTCTACTTTAACTGCGACTGCTAACTTTGACGAAGTAGTCACTCGGTATTGCTCAGTCATGTCTCACATTTCGTTCAGTTAATGTATTCCAAAATAGTGGTTTTTATAACGTTATCTATTTATTAGACTTATTTATACCGGACACCCTCTAATGTTTTTTTTTTTTTTTTTTTTTTTTTTACTTTGAATTTTTTTATTGATTTTTTCTTGTTCTTTCCAAATCAATTTCAAACTGAATAGCAACGAAAAAACATGCAGTGAGTAATTGTATCGAAAACTAAACAAAAAAAAAAAAAAAGGCGAGTTCTTTTTTTTTCCATTGATAATAATGAAAGTAACTGTTACTTTTAAATAATTAATACAAAAAAAAATGTAATAAAAAGTAATTTATATATTTTTTTTAAAATAAACGACGTCTTACACCTAAAAAATAATGTTAATACAGAAGAATTCAATTCTCAAATATCTTGATAATCATACATTTTGTGAGCATCTGCTTTTGTAGTATATATATATATATATATATATATATATATATATATATATATATATATATATATAGATATATATATATATATATATATATATATATATATATATATACACTTTTACTAATCCAGACTCGGACATTTTTATCCTCAGATCCATTGGCAAAATGAAAATCATTCGGGACCTATCAACGTACTACACATTGTTACATAGAGTCACAAACGGTTCCACTGTCTGCATAATCTTCCATATTTGATTCATTGAAGTACATCTTTAGGTGCCACCGAATATATTCGTCAGGTCAAACTTAAAAAAAAAATTGGGGGTAAATTTCAAGCAATTCAACTTACATATAGGTATATATATATATATATATTATATATATATATATATTATATTTTAATTTTTTTTTTTGTGTTTATAAAAGAAAAGAATTGCAAACATTGTCGAGAAATTTGATTTTATTTTTTATAAAGTTGAGGTCGGGTGTCAAACTAGGTCAAAATTGTCTCTCCTGAAATGTAACGTCCATGTTTGGGTGGAGCTACCAGGCTTGGTATTATGCCAGTCCGGTTAGTAATTAATAGAAATAGTTATTAATGTTGAATTTTTCTTTTTTTTTAAAAACAATTTCTTGTTAAAACAATGTTTTGTTTAATGAAATAAGTTACCTCCTAACATGATTGTATTTTTGTGAAGAAAGGCAATATCCAAATATCCATTACATCGTACCAAGGTGCAATAATANAAAATTTTCTTTCTTTTCATGCCTTGACATCATTTATTTTGTTTGACATTAATTACATTGACATCTTTACGGGGGGGGGGGGGATACACTCTGAAAAAAACAAGCTATTTTTTGTAACAATATAATAATAATAATAATAATAATAATAAAGTTTATTTCAAAAACACGCTTCATCCCCAAAGGCTCGAAGCGCGGTACAAAGTTAACAAAAAATAAATCTATAATTTACCACATTTAAAACAAACGCAACACTACAAAAACTAATTACAAGCATACAATGGCAAAGTCTTTCTAGCCATTTCAAGCCTGAGCAACACAGCCATTATGCATTAACTGGAAACTAAGGTAGACAATCATCCCAGAAGGTGTTTGCGAAATAGATGTGTCTTTAAATCGGTTTTAAAGGACTCCAGTGTCTGGTTGTTTCTGAATACATTATGAAAAGGCGTAAGCAAGCCGTTTAGCCTAAAGCCCGAAAAGTCCCCAAAGGCCACGAAGCGACACAAAGGAGGTCCTTCTCCATCTGTTGGACAGCCCCCTGCACGAAACTCCACTCGCTTGATAATCTATACGGGCGCCATCATTTAGTTCGATAGCGGTGTATTTTTTTCCTCACAACACAAGAAATCGACTTTCCCCAGGGGTTGGAAAGGTGAATCTACATCCTATATCCAGCCACTACCCAATATCATGCCTCATATCCATGTCAGCAACATTATAGCAATCATTATCCTTATCCCTTTTCTACCGTTATTTCAACTGCGGATATGGCCACCTGTGGCAAAGGCTTCAGTTCACACTGCAGTTGCAGATGTTCGGCAGATACCATGCATGCCCCTTGTCTACCCACTCAGGATCAGGCAATGGTGGTTATGTCCCCGGCATAGTGTCAGGGGTGGGGGGCGGGGGCAGCGGCGGATGGCAGCGTCTTATTTCTCAGCATTCTCCAGGGACATACTGACAAGAGCCCCGTAGGAGATGTTTTGTAACTAAAATATCTGTTTTTTTTTCTGCACTTTCTGTTAAATTATTTTAATATTTTAGCAGACTTTTTTTTAGAAACCTTCCTTAACATTATCCCCCCCCCCCAACTGCAATTATTGATCATTAATTTTATGATATTTATTTCCAAAAATATTTATAAAATTTTTAAATTTCTTAAGGAAAAGCCTGCCTAAACACATTTATTGAAATTAAGTTAATTAAACTCTCTTACTTCATTGTTGACATAAGCTTGGCAAGGGTTTTGTTCTCACCCAGGCCTCATAGCCATTATCGGCGACACGTAATCATGTTAGCGCGCAACTCCCGAAGAGTTGGAAGTCATGCGTTTGGCCGGGATCTTTTAGCTTCAAGGGGATACCTCCGTACTGGTCCGTCACGCCGCTACGAGGCAAAGTCCCATGTAACACCCCCGAGTCAGTGATGCTGAGGTTCGACCTCACAGAGTTCGGTCTAGGCCCGACGGATCTAGTTTACAACCGCTGCCAATTACACATTGGGTAGTATGTCTCCTGGTATCTTGTCGAATCTTCTCGTTAACCCGAGAAATGTAAACAACACGTCATAATTCTTTTCTGGAAGGGTCTTACGCTACATGTATATAAGGGATTGACAGATACGGAGAGACGGAGATTCAGATAGATATTATTAACTTTACGAGACGTGTATTATTATTTGTGTAATTGTGTGCTCATATGTGTATATTTCGCATGTCATCATTATTCATTGGCACATTATACTAACTGTGTTAACTGTGTACCGGTACAAGATCTTCTGTACTGTAAGCTGATGATTTATAATTATATTTCTTTTGTTTTGTTATTGTATTAATAATACTTAACAAATCGTATTACTTGTAGCTAGCAACGGTTTTTGGTGTCTTATCTTTAATATTGTTGACAGTATGGTATCGTCCTTTGTTAGGCATTGTATACAACGAGCCAATAAAATTAAAATAGGAGATTAATTTCTCATATTAGAAGCCAGTGCGTAACAATGTGTATACGGAAAAGATTTTTTTATCTCTCTCGAGCGTTTAATTTCGCGTTAAGAAAGGGCAAGAAAGATTTCAAAAGTAATAATATTAAATATTTTTTTAAACATACTAATGTTCTCATTAAATTCACATGTTTCTGTGTGCACAAACACCACATGGTTCTTCCCGTCTATCAATGACCAACAATTTTTATTTAACCATCATTATCAATCAAACAATCTTGCACGCCCGACAGCTATTGTTAGAAGCTGTTCAAGTGTAATGAAAGTGGTTTATTGATTAACTTTGTACAAGTTTTCCCTGAAAAGGCTGAGCTCTTTTTTTAAAAAAATTGGGCTTTAGACCTGTGCAGGACTCAACATTTTTAGTTTAAAATTAGGTTACTTTTGTTACGTGTGAGATTAATTTGATTTTTTTAATTTTTTATTTATTTGTGTTAAGTATGAGCAGAACTATCAACAACGGTGCGTCATCGCGTGAAATTGGTAATGATCCACCGCAAGGTGTGTGGCCCGGTCAAGATTCTTGTAGTGAAATTGAGTGTGTCTTTAACACTTGAAATCCAACACCGGCGTATCTTGTTCTTCCTCTGGACCTGAAACCCGAGACCCTTCCTGTCCGTGCTGATGGATGGCAGGGCGGTTCAGCCACGTTTTCAAAATCAATCAATTTGCGTTTGGGGGCATACTGGCTGAAACAAGTGTTTGTTTTCCTGTTTCTGAATGTGGAACTTTCTCGATTTACAAGCTGGTCCTTTTTAACAATCTCAGCGAATGGGAGAAGAGTTTCTTCCTGGTGCTATGTTCAGATTCCAGGTCTTGTGATTGTTTAAATAGTTTTGAATAGTGCCAATGTTAATTAGTCTGGCCTTGTTCTCCAGCTTTACTCTTGGATGTCTCGGAACTTAGAAGCTGGGCATATTTAATTGCCAACTGCGTTCGTATGCTGCACTTTTATATCTATATCTATGTAAAATGTTCCTGCTCATTGAAAATGCTTGCCAGAAATCGTTCATGTTCTTTTTCTGTTTGTTTTTTTTTTTAAGTGCTAGATATTAAATCATTTTTCACTTACTGATTTAAGATCTGTTGGGTGAGGAAGATCTGGCATCAGTCAACGAGCAAAATAATCCTAGTATGGAGTTACAACTAAAGCTGAT